GTCAACGCGCTAAGGTGCATCGCCACACGAAAGCCCCTTTGGAACGTTTCATGGTGCCGGACACGTCAACATCGACCTAGTAGTGGGTCCATTGCCCTCCTCTCAGGGTTTTTCCTACCTCCCCACTATGGTGGACAGGACGACCCGTCGGCCGGAGGCGGTTCCTCTCGTGTCGACGTTGGCGGCTGACATAGCCCGGGCTTTCATTGCGACGTGGGCAGGGTTGGGTTGTAACGGAATACATGTAACGGCGTTACGTAATCAGAATACAAAAATCAAGTAACTGTATTCAGCTCGCATTACATTTGAAAAACGAGTAATCTGATTACAGTTACTTTCGTAAACCTGAAGTGAATACATTTTGGATTACTTATTGGAATTATTGGTGGAAAGATTTCCTCACAACATTTAATATTCATTACTAAAGGTACAGCCGAATCATCACAGTGCACAAAACTTTTACCGCCGCAGATGGACCAAAAAAGGGAGCGTTTGAAAAAAAAGGGGCGGGTCCGCTCAGTGAAACAATAACAACGAAACATGGAGGAACAACAGTCTGCATTTAAGCAGTAGCGTGGCGTGGGGAAAAATGTAGGGGAAGCCCATTTTTTGGGTCGGGGGGCGGTCAATAACGTAACCAGATGAATGATTACAGCGCCCGGTATCATTTTACACACATTTGTATCACACAGATGCAGGACTTGCACACGCCTGTTATCTAACCGACAGGTCCGCACGCACTCTCCAGCTGAAACTCTCTTCTTATTAATTTAAGCATTTTACTTATTAATGTAGGCAGACAATCACACAATCTATGTGATTTTTGGATTTACCGTGCCTCTCAATTGCCCGTGACAGGTTGGCAAGGTCGATGAATCCTGAAGTTGCCCAAGGATTGTTCAGGGAGCACGAATCCTTGTCAAAAAGAAGACATGGCCAGCCAAATAGACGCTGAAGTTTAGCGCTTCCAGTTAGCCACTCTGTGCGGACATAATTGTCCTCATTGAACGTCCGATTCTCTCCCTTTTTCCTCTGTGTACACACAGCTCGAGTGCGGGCATTGGCCTGTCATCTGATTAATTTTCAGTTGCTGCTGTAGCGGAAGTTTAGTAAAGTTATGTTTGATTAAGTACGCCAAATCTCCACCCTCCATAATGCTTCATTTGCTTGATAATTTCTAACGGCGGTGATGACAGTTACAGTATTAAAACTGATGTTGATGTGATTTGATTGGATGGCAGTGTCCAATCAAATCGCCAGCCGCCAGCCGCCCCTGAAGGGAAGCTAGAGGCGGCTGGCTTCCCTTGGCATGGCCCTGACCAATCACAGGTTGGTAGGGGCATCACGTGGGCCTCATCTGATTGGTCAATCCCTCCATTTTTTTTCACCAAAGGAAGCCAGATTCGGCTAGCCTCCTCTCGCAACAGAGAGTGCAATCTACTGTTTCACCATAACATCTAGAGGGGCGCTGTTTCACTCTTTGTAAAGTACTCAATGAGAATGGGGGAGAGACGGCCGGCAGCGACACACAGCAAAGGAGAATTATCGAAACAAAACAAAGTGTTTTTATTTATTTATTTAAATTATAACTACAATCCGAAAAAACAGGGGAAGCCTGGCTTCCCTTGGCCTCCGGGAGAAAACGCCACTGCATTTAAGTCGTGTGTGTGTAGAGGTGTGTGTGGTTAAAACACATCAAACACATCAGCCTGCGGTTGCTCTTTAGCCTTTCTAATGATTCTGAAGGTAAACACAGTGAAGGCGGTGCGTGAAAGGCGGTGCGTGAAAGGCACTGCGCGCTCGTCTTCTCAGAGGCTGAATTAACCCTCCCGCTGCCTCCTGGTGCTGCAGAGATTTCATGAAGTGAAGGAGGTTGTCCTTCTATAAAACAGCTGTGGGCAGCAGATAGGCTACTGTGAGTGTCACGGACATGAATTCATAGATCAAGGCACACTGGTGCACAGTGTCTCCTGTTTTGCCAATCCGGTGCTTAAACAAATATAGCTCTACACCCCTGGCCGAAATGTCCTTAAAATGAAGTCCGAGTTCGACATTTTAATTCATGTCCTGCCAACACTGGCAGGCGACACGCCCGTTCTAAGCCGTGTCCCTCACTCCTCACATCCCAAGCTGCATCCCCAGAAAGTGTATTATGTTGTTATATCGTTTCAGATGTGATGTTTCAGTTGTGCTCTTGATACGCCATTAAAACAGTAAAAACACGTTCAGTTTCCTTTTGCTTTTTGTGTCACCTGTTCACCAAAACATACCCATCTGTGATGGAAAAAGAAAGTAATCCAAAAGTAATCTGATTACGTTTTAAGACACGCAACTGTAACTGTATTCGGAATACTTTCAGAGCCATGTATTCAGTAATCAGTAACTGATTACATTTACAAAGTAACCCTCCCAACCGTGGACGTGGGTGTGTCGGTTTGGCACCCCGTCGGACATTTCCTCTGACCGGGGTTCGCAGTTCACGTCTGAGCTCTGGAACGCCGTGGCGTGTGGTCTGGGGGTTAAGCTTCACAGGACAACCACTTATCACCCTCAGGCTAACAGCCTCTGTGAACGTTTCCATCGCTCCATGAAGGCAGCACTCAGAGCCGGCCTGAAGGACGGAAATTGGGTCGACAAGCTGCCTTGGGTAATGCTGGGCCTGCGGACCGCGCCCAAGGAAGATCTGCAGTGTTCCACGGCTGAGAGTTCCAGGGGATTTCCTCCCTAACACATCGGTTCCCTGGTCGGCGTCGGCGCAGCGGGTTTGCTTGCAGGACGCCGCCGAGGCTTTTGCTTCGGTTCCCACTGCCCAACATGGTACTCATGGTTCCCGCGGATCTCCGCTCGGCAGAGCACGTCTTCATACGGCACAATGCGCACAGGGGTCCTCTACGGCCTCCTTACGATGGACCTTTCCGAGTTTTGGAGCACGGGGATAAACACCTTGTGGTCGACCTGGGTGGTAATTTGGGCCAGCCGGTGGTGCTGGCACGACCTCCGCGACGAGGGCGCCCCCGGCCTTGATCCCTGTCACGGAATTGAGACCCGTTGTTCCGGTCTCGCCTCTTCCGGAGGCCGCACAGTTAGAGGTCGTTTTTTCGACTCCCGTGCTCAGGAGTCGTGGGGGTCTACCTGTCGTTCCTCCCCGCCACGCTGACTTTGTTTACGGGTGAATAGGGGGGCTTGTGTGGTGACACATTTGTACATAATTCACCGTGTGATTAATGTGTGTTGCAACCCGGACCCTTTAGTGAGGGTACCAGGGTTTATTGTCATTCATGCTAGCTTGTCATACAGAGCAGCACATGTAGGCTACTTACCGTGTCTTGATTAACAGATAATAAAGTGTGGAAGTCCATTCTGAATACACGGCCTCTGACTCCCTTTTATTGGCTCTACAAACTGTTATCTGTGTTGGTTATTCTCGCGTCCAGGAGAGAAGCTTAAAAAGGAGACTAAATGGAGTCTCAGATGGTTTCAAATTGGTACTTTAATTAAAAAATAATGGCACGGTTATGTTCACAAACAGAATATTGTTCGGACAGAAAAGCAAATGTCCTCTGGCTCTCGCTAGCAGAGAAAAAGAGGCCGAACTCCTCAGGTCTCGCTGTTTATATATCCTCTGCTGGCTCCTCCCTGCGGGCCGGCTCTCCAACGTTTTAATGTCCGTTGTTACGCATATCAGAGGATACAGACATTGTACATTCAATATATATCTAAACACGCCTTTTCTCTTCCATGACTTTTCATTTAACACATTCTAAACGCTGTAATCAATACTCCAAAAATACAGGAAATACTTCACAGCAGTTTGGTTTCCGGTTGTTCCGAATGTTGTCACATGCTACCCACATCTGTAAACAATAACGTACTCAAATAAACTGTACCTTCATTTAAAATCCAACAATAATATCTTGACGTCTATAGTTGTAGTGTTGAAATCAGTAGGTTTCGGTGTGCAACATCATATCGCTGCTAAATTCACCTCTATAGTAAATGGTATATTAGCCTCATGCTAACCGGAGATGAAGGATTTTCAGAATAAAAGCTTAACAACTGGTTGTGATTGATTGAAAAGTTTATTAACAGCTTGTATATTGGGTACAGTACAGTACAGCTCAAAACATACAATTGTTAAGGGGATGCAGACCAGAGAAAGACTTTCGTCTTGTTTACATCAGGGTCCCCCATTTCCAATTCATCATGTCATTTAAGACATATAAGACATATTTGACATACAGATGGCTTATTTACAATTTACATACAGGTGTTTTTTTTTTTTTTTTTTTACATACAGATTGCTTGTTTACAATTTTCATTTTAGATTTCGTTCTAATACATCCTAACCGGACATTTAAGACATACCAAGTCTACAGATATACAGTTAGTAACAGAGTCTAAAATGCGAGTATTGTGCACAAGAACTTCTGGTTTTTCAGTATAAAACAGCATTTAAACTGACGGTATGTTTAAGGTGCATTATGCCATTAAAAACATTGATTTTAATTTCTAATAAAACTGCACTTAAATCACTTGTTGCTTTTTAAGCCATTTAAAATAGTTTTTTTGACTTTTAAAATACTTTCTGCCATAGAAATTATTTCAGTATTACCATTATTTAGGGCTGCATGAACACGTATTTGAGCATCCCTGCACACTTTCCTCCTATTTAAAACACTTTGCAGTGAGGTGCTGCAGCCTGCTTCTCTGCCCCTATTTAAAACACTTTTCCTCCTTCCACCTTGCTTGAGGTGAAATCTCTATTTCAGCCCTGATTTTGTCACGTCTTGTAAATTAGTTAAATGTAGCTTTGTGTTTTTATTTAAGTTGCTGTTCATTGGTTTTTATATAAAGCAGATTTAATTATATCCTATGGACGATGATGTGTGGATGTTGTGTCCTTTTGATAACTTTGTTGAGCTTGTTTTTAGCTGCATGTCTTTTTCTATCTCACTGAACAAAGTGATGTGAACTGCTTCAGCTGATAAGGCTGGTTATGAAACAGAGGGAAGAGCTGCAGACAGGGAGGGAAGGTGAAAGTGAAAGTATGAAGTCAAACTTGTCAGACTGCCAGGTGCCATTTTACCGCTCGACACGATGAGGAGAACAACAGGGTGAGTGTTAACACCAGGATCTGCTTTTTAACACATTTATTATTTACTCTGTTTTAGTGGATGTCAGAAAAATAACTTCTTGATTAAAAATATGCGTCCTAGAGTACATGTAGAGTCCAATGAGACTTCATGTAGAGTCCAATGAGACTTCTCATTGGACTCTACATGTGACAGCCCAGCGCAGTCAAAATGGAGAGCGGCCTATCTGAAGTCTGACTGATTTCATGTAGTTTAACTGTGTGTGTGTGTGTGTGTTTGTGTTTGTGTGTGTGCGTGTGTGTCTCTAGTGTTACTGGGTTACTGTATCTCTCAGACTGGAGAAGATGAGTAATTTAAAAGACGAGGAAGAGGACAAATCTTCAGTCTCCAGCTGTCTGTCTCTGAAGAGTGACTGGTTTATGGGTTATCCTCCAGACTTCAGTAATGAACCTGGACCCTCAGACACAAAATAAGACTTTCTACTGTAAACTGACCTGCAGAGGATTCTGTTTTTTTGGTATCTGATCATCTAAACTGTTTAATGAAACCCAGTAGAGTACATTAACAAAGTTTAATTTAACTCTTGCTACTTAATCATCAAAGATAATAAATAATCTACTAGTGAAATCATCCTCACTCTCTACATGTTGGACTTTGTGTTAAATTAAGCAAATAAAATACAAATATGTAAAACGTTTCACACTCAAATGAATTTTAACAACAGAAACCCACAATCACGACTCAACAATTCTAAACATCTTTAATAAGGTGAACAGTCATAGATCAAAAGCTGCTCTTTAAATAAACTAATGATGTTTTAAACATGTGTTGTTTCCACAGACAGAGAGCAAAGTCTACGGTCTCCATGTGGTCTCTGAAGAGTATCCGGTCTATGGGGGAACCTCTAGGGTTCAGTAATGAACCTGGACCCTCAGACACAAAGTAAGAGTTTCTACTGTAAACTGACCTGAAGAGGATTCAGTTTTGATGTAATCTAATATATTAAACTGTTCTTTAATGATATCATGTGAGCAGTTTGTAAAGGGAAAACGAGTACAGTAAGCTAACATTATCCAAGGATATTTCAATATGTAAATATATTATCATTGTATCTGTGTATAAAATGGTTTTAAATAGCAAAAATGTTGGTACATTCTGATTTAAAAACTATATATATTGTCCAAAACATTATTTACCAAATTGGGCATGTCTATGATATGTCTTTTTAAGATGTTTATTAATAATAGTGATAACCTGGTGAGCTGGTTGTGTTTAGCATTAGCAGATAAAACAGTGTTTTGTGAAATCACATGTAGAGTCAATGCAAAGACCCAGATCCATGCCTGGCAACACGAAGGAAGTGAATATGTTAAATTCATATCACCTGCGTATTCGTGCAGCGTGACACATTTCAACTTGAGTGTAAAGTTTGTGACGCTCTGTTACAAAAACCTGTCAGTGTTGAGATTGTGCTCCTGTGGTCTCTGACGGTCTGAGGGGAATCAGAGAGGAGAACAGAGCTCTACAGCAGCTCATATTCAATCAGGGTTATTCATGTTCCTGTATAAACCAGAGACTGTCTGTGGTGCTAACAATATAGTGACTGCTGTACTTATGACTACATGAAGTCATTCTGAGTGTTGATGGAGCAGCTAATGTTAGCCTAGCTTTAATCAAATCGGTCTCATTCAGAAAAAAAACATTTAAAAAGGTTGTTCTGCTCACTGTGTTGGAGACAGACCTGACAAAGCATTAACTCAGCTTTTTACAAATCAGTATCATTCTGTTGTTATTTAGGCATCCTTTCCATACATTTATTGCTATTAATTCACAGAAGATTCTATGCAAGTTGGGTTTATAAAGCACCAGGTTAATACAGCTGTGTGTGTAGATACAGGGAACATGTGCTCCTCTGGGTCATGAATCCAGACAGGATGCTCTTTGGTTTTATGATCATGTGAATTGTAAGCTATCTACCTGATCACAAGGGTATATTATATAGACCTATTTTTAAAGATCAAACTAGAATTTGCCCCCTTGTTGTACCTTTGTTGAGAATCAGCTCCTCTAAAGTAAAGAGCTATAAAGGATGTGTTCCTCTCCACAGAGGGAAGAGGAAGAGTGGTGTTCCTGTGGAGGAGCAGCTGTCCAGCTGTGCTCTGTGTCAGGACGTCCTGAAGGATCCAGTCTCTACCAGCTGTGGACACTGGTTCTGCAGTTCTCATACTGGGAGCAGCGCCCTCCATCAGGAGACCCCTCCTGTCTCCAGTGTGGAGAAAGATCCAGAACCAGAGCTGGCCTGCAGACAGCCAGTCAGACCAGCTCTGTACGAGGTAAGAGGTCGAACTCATGCAGCGTCTTATTCCTCTTCCTGGTTCATTTTTTATTATTATTATTAGGTATTCTGTTGTAGAGCATAGACATTCAAATGTTTATAAAACATTTAAACTCAATCTGTTTTTATTAGTGTTATTGTTAGATTCTCAAAAGCATTTCCTGTTCTCATTCATAACACTCCGTTCGATGTCTCACTATGGGATGCGCCTTAACGCGTATGCAAACAGAAGCATCAATCTCATTACGCCAATCCTGATTGGCTGGTGATCTTGACTGTCAACGTCAGGGAATCCACCCACCCTTTAAGTAGCTTGCGCTACGACGCAGCGTCATTCAAACACCTCTTCTCGCTTCAGAGCACATCTCGTTTTATCAGTAACCGGGCTAGCTTAACGGTCCACAGACTGAACCCAAGCTAACATTCGGTCGACGGGCGCTTGCCGGTTACTTTTTTGCTTTGCAAGAAGATTTAGCAATATTAACACACCAGTTAATATTGGAATCTGCCTCGTCGTTCTTTCTGTCGAAATAACGGTAAGGTTTGATTTTTTTCTTCAAGCTAGTAACATACCTGTTGCTAGTTTGTTCTTCCCTCCACACCGACACCACGGTAAAGAGGACGTCCTCTTTTCTCTCTCACACCAGAGGAGACAGAGATAAAAAAGGTATTAACACACCAGTTAATATTCTTTAAAGAATAAAATCTACACCGTCGCCTTTTTTCCTTTCGGACTAACGGCAAGGTTAGATTTTTTCTCAGTAACGTACCTGTTACTAGCATGTCCACTCCACGCCGACACCCTGGCGATCAAAGATGGACCCTTCTCTCCCTCACACCAGAGGAGTCAGGGACTCGGAGGCTCGGCTATGCGGCTGCGAGTTTAAAATGTCAGGCACAGACTCACACCAGGTCTGCTCGTCCTGCCTCGGGCTGGAACACGCCCGGGAGGTTATTGATAACCCCGGCTCGTGCGGGCATTGTACCCGCTTCACCATGAAGAGCCTCCGCCGACGGTTAGCACGCCAAGCTAGCTTGTCGGGACAGGACCCCCTCATGTCCGCTGATTCGCCGTCCGGCAATCAAGACATGGTGGCGTCCGCCGCAGAGATTGTGCCCCACGCTGTGTCAGTCTGGGGCTCAACAACAGCGACAGCCGCTGAACCGGAGCCCCGCGCTGTGTCAAGCTGGGGCTCCCAATTGGACCTCACCATGGTTCCACCCGCGCAGGATGTCCTGGAGTTGGACTACATGGAGGACGAAGAGGATACCTCTGAGTTCCTCCCGTCTGACTCAGATGGGGATGACATCTTCGTTTCATCGGCTCAGGCTGCTAAGCCGGGAGTGATGTCCGCTCCCCCGGGCGAGAGCACACCAGCTTCGCCCGTCCTAAGCATGGACTTGCAGGCCGTGTGTCACCGCGCTGCGTCCAGGCTGGACATCCCATGGCCTGAAGCGGCCAAGGAGACCTCCAGATCTCGCTACGAGGGGAAGAACTTGCCCCAAGCAGCGAGGACGAAGAGGCAGCTCCTTCCAGTCTTTCCGGAGATGCTGGACGAGGTGTCGGTCTCGTGGAGAGACCGTCCCTTCAACAACAAGGCCCCCAATCCAGGGTGCCTCCTCCCTGGACTGTGACGGTATGGAGAGGCTCGGCCTGCTCCGCATGCCGCCCATGGAACCGCTTGGTGGCTTCGACACCAAGCAGGAACCCCATGCTACCGACAAAGGCAGACCGGTTCCAGTCAGCGATGACCGAACGGGCCTATAAAGCCGCAGCTTTGTCCGCCAGGGCTCTCAACGTCTCCTCGCTGCTGACCGCCTACCAGGCGGAGCTTTGCGAGGACATGTCGAGCAGACCTGAGCCTGCCGTGTGGGACGAGATCACAGCGATCACGGACATTTGCCTCCGTGTGCAGCGCTGTGCAGTCCAAGCCACGGGAAAAGCACTTGGAATGATGGTGGTACAGGAGAGAGCCAGGTGGCTCAACCTGACCAACCTTCCAGACTGGGAAAAAGAGGATGTTCTGGACATGCCTATTGTTCCCGAGGGCATATTTGGCTCCGCTCTAGCTTCAATGCAGCTGAGGTGCGAGTCAAAAAGGAAGGGAGACGAGGCTCTCCAGCTCTGTCTCCCCCGAAGGGTCCAGCCGCCACCTCCAATGGTCCCGCGGCAGGCCTTCACCCAAGCTGTCTCACGTCCTGCTCGGTTCAAAATACCGAAGCAGCAGAGACCGCAGCCCGTCCCGGGTCCCCAGCCCAGGCACGAGGTAAGAGGGAGCTGGCCAAGAAAATCTCCGGTCCCGGCAGCTGCGGCTCAGGCGCAGCCGACCCAGGTTTTCAGCCACCAGGCGAGGAAGAAGAAGCGGGCGGCCTGACAGCCTCCTCTCCTCTCCTCGATGAAGGAGCTGGAAGTTCCCTGTTCCCCAGCTCCAGAGCACGTTCCAGTGTTGGATGCTCATGTGTTTTCGGGGTGCTGCCATGCCCCCATCTTCCCGCCGCCTCGAGTAATGCCAAAACGTAGACAGCCGACAGCCAGTCAGACCAGCTCTGTACGATGTAAGAGGCCGAACTCATGCAGCGTCTTATTCCTCTTCCCGGTTCATTTTTTTTTATTAGGTATTCTGTTGTAGAGCATAGACATTAAAATGTTTATAAAACATTTAAACTCAATCTGTTTTTATTAGTGTTATTGTTAGATTCTCAAAAGCATTTCCTGATTCTCTCATGTTTCCTTCTCTTCCAGCAGATAGTGGTCTGCAGGAGGTTCTAGATGAACATAGGCTCAGTCTGAGGAGGAGATGTGAACGTGTGACTGAAGGAACTGATCAAAGTGAAACCCTCCTCAACAGGATCTTCACTGAACTCTACATCACACAAGGCCAGAGTGAAGAGGTTAATACCCAGCATGAGGTGAGGCAGCTGGAGACAGCTTCCAAGAAGATGCCCCTCCATGACACTCCAATCAAGTGCCAGGACATCTTTAAAGCCTCACCTGACCAACAGACTCACATCAGAGCGGTCCTGACCAACGGAGTCGCTGGAGTTGGAAAAACCTTCTCAGTGCAGAAGTTCACTCTGGACTGGGCCGAGGGTTTGGGAAACCAAGATGTCAGTCTGGTGATCCCGCTCTCCTTCGGGGAGCTGAACCTGATCAAAGGTGAGCAGTACAGTCTTCTCAGGCTGCTCCATGTTTTCCATCCAACCTTACAGAAGGTCACAGCAGAGCAACTGGCTGTCTGTAAAGTGCTGTTCATCTTTGACGGCCTGGATGAAAGCAGACTTTCTCTGGACTTCACAAACAATGAGGTTGTGTCTGATGTCTCACAGCAGTCCTCAGTCAACGTGCTGCTGACAAACCTCATCAGGGGGAAGCTGCTTCCCTCGGCTCTCGTCTGGATAACTTCCAGACCTGAAGCGGCCAAGGAGACCTCCAGATCTCGCTACGAGGGGAAGAACTTGCCCCAAGCAGCGAGGACGAAGAGGCAGCTCCTTCCAGTCTTTCCGGAGATGCTGGACGAGGTGTCGGTCTCGTGGAGAGACCGTCCCTTCAACAACAAGGCCCCAATCCAGGGTGCCTCCTCCCTGGACTGTGACGGTATGGAGAGGCTCGGCCTGCTCCGCATGCCGCCCATGGAACCGCTTGGTGGCTTCGACACCAAGCAGGAACCCCATGCTACCGACAAAGGCAGACCGGTTCCAGTCAGCGATGACCGAACGGGCCTATAAAGCCGCAGCTTTGTCCGCCAGGGCTCTCAACGTCTCCTCGCTGCTGACCGCCTACCAGGCGGAGCTTTGCGAGGACATGTCGAGCAGACCTGAGCCTGCCGTGTGGGACGAGATCACAGCGATCACGGACATTTGCCTCCGTGTGCAGCGCTGTGCAGTCCAAGCCACGGGAAAAGCACTTGGAATGATGGTGGTACAGGAGAGAGCCAGGTGGCTCAACCTGACCAACCTTCCAGGCTGGGAAAAAGAGGATGTTCTGGACATGCCTATTGTTCCCGAGGGCATATTTGGCTCCGCTCTAGCTTCAATGCAGCTGAGGTGCGAGTCAAAAAGGAAGGGAGACGAGGCTCTCCAGCTCTGTCTCCCCCGAAGGGTCCAGCCGCCACCTCCAATGGTCCCGCGGCAGGCCTTCACCCAAGCTGTCTCACGTCCTGCTCGGTTCAAAATACCGAAGCAGCAGAGACCGCAGCCCGTCCCGGGTCCCCAGCCCAGGCACGAGGTAAGAGGGAGCTGGCCAAGAAAATCTCCGGTCCCGGCAGCTGCCGCTCAGGCGCAGCCGACCCAGGTTTTCAGCCACCAGGCGAGGAAGAAGAAGCGGGCGGCCTGACAGCCTCCTCTCCTCTCCTCGATGAAGGAGCTGGAAGTTCCCTGTTCCCCAGCTCCAGAGCACGTTCCAGTGTTGGATGCTCATGTGTTTTCGGGGTGCTGCCATGCCCCCATCTTCCCGCCGCCTCGAGTAATGCCAAAACGTAGACAGCCGACAGCCAGTCAGACCAGCTCTGTACGATGTAAGAGGCCGAACTCATGCAGCGTCTTATTCCTCTTCCTGGTTCATTTTTTTATTATTAGGTATTCTGTTGTAGAGCATAGACATTAAAATGTTTATAAAACATTTAAACTCAATCTGTTTTTATTAGTGTTATTGTTAGATTCTCAAAAGCATTTCCTGATTCTCTCATGTTTCCTTCTCTTCCAGCAGATAGTGGTCTGCAGGAGGTTCTAGATGAACATAGGCTCAGTCTGAGGAGGAGATGTGAACGTGTGACTGAAGGAACTGATCAAAGTGAAACCCTCCTCAACAGGATCTTCACTGAACTCTACATCACACAAGGCCAGAGTGAAGAGGTTAATACCCAGCATGAGGTGAGGCAGCTGGAGACAGCTTCCAAGAAGATGCCCCTCCATGACACTCCAATCAAGTGCCAGGACATCTTTAAAGCCTCACCTGACCAACAGACTCACATCAGAGCGGTCCTGACCAACGGAGTCGCTGGAGTTGGAAAAACCTTCTCAGTGCAGAAGTTCACTCTGGACTGGGCCGAGGGTTTGGGAAACCAAGATGTCAGTCTGGTGATCCCGCTCTCCTTCGGGGAGCTGAACCTGATCAAAGGTGAGCAGTACAGTCTTCTCAGGCTGCTCCATGTTTTCCATCCAACCTTACAGAAGGTCACAGCAGAGCAACTGGCTGTCTGTAAAGTGCTGTTCATCTTTGACGGCCTGGATGAAAGCAGACTTTCTCTGGACTTCACAAACAATGAGGTTGTGTCTGATGTCTCACAGCAGTCCTCAGTCAACGTGCTGCTGACAAACCTCATCAGGGGGAAGCTGCTTCCCTCGGCTCTCGTCTGGATAACTTCCAGACCTGCAGCGGCCAATCAGATCCCTCCTGAGTGCGTGGACAGGGTGACAGAAGTACGAGGCTTCACTGACGCCCAGAAGGAGGAGTACTTCAGGAGGAGATTCAGAAAGAAGAGGAAGGCCAGCAGAATCATCTCTCACATCAAGAGCTCCAGGAGCCTCCACATCATGTGTCTGATCCCAGTCTTCTGCTGGATCACTGCTGCAGTTCTGGACCACATGTTGACTACAGACCAGAGAGGAGAGCTGCCCCAGACCCTCACTGACATGTACTCACACTTCCTGCTGGTCCAGACCAAGAGGAAGAAGCAGAAGTATGAAGAGGGACATGAGACGAGTCCACAGCAGCTGACGGAGGCTGACAGGGAGGTTCTTCTGAAGCTGGGGAGGCTGGCGTTTGAACATCTGGAGAAAGGAGACATCATGTTCTACCAAGAAGACCTGCAGCGCTGTGGTCTTGATGTCACTGAGGCCTTGGTGCACTCAGGAGTTTGTACAGAGATCTTCAAAAGAGAGAGAGTGATCTTCAAGAAAACAGTCTACTGCTTTGTTCATCTGAGCATTCAGGAGTTCCTGGCTGCAGTCTACTTGTTCCACAGTTACACCAACAGAGACACAGCAGTACTGAATAACTTCCTGAAGAGAGACTATTACAACAGGTATAACAGTGATCAGGAGTACCCATCCCTGGATGTCTTCCTAAAGGGAGCCATGGCGAAATCCCTCAGAAGTGAAAATGGCCACCTGGACCTGTTTGTCCGCTTTCTCCACGGCCTCTCTCTGGAGTCCAACCAGAGACTGTTAGGAGGCCTGCTGGGTCGTACAGACAACCATCCAGGAATCATCCAGAGACTCTTAGGAGGGCTGCTGGGTCGCACAGACAACAGACCAGAAATCATCCAGAGAGCCATCAGCAACCTGAAGGAGATGAACAGTTATGAAATCCCTCCTGACAGGAGCATCAACATCTTCCACTGTCTGACAGAGATGAAGGACCACTCAGTACATCAGGAGATCACAAAGTTCCTGAAGTCAGAGAACAGATCAAAGAAGGAACTCTCTGAGATCCACTGCTCTGCTCTGGCCTACATGCTGCAGATGTCAGAGGAGGTTCTGGATGAGTTGGACCTGAAGAAGTACAACACATCACCTGAGGGACGACGGAGATTGATTCCAGCTGTGAGGAACTACAGGAAGGCCAAGTAAGTCCAGATGTGATTGACTTTATAAACTAATGTGGATCAGGAGTTCAATTATTCAAATGAACACTATAACATTTCTGCTGTTTACATACTGAGAGCAAAATAAACCAACACTGTTCTTCTATTTATTTATAATAATAGTTAAACTGAACTGTTTCTCTCTTCATATTGAGTGATGGAGGCGACATGTCAAACACATGAAGGACTTTAGAGGTTTCTCAGCATGTGATCACACCACACAGCAGGACTTACAGTTATCAGTTATTATTACTTTCTAGTAGTTTCTTTATCATTAAACACACACGTTTTTATCACAATGTTTTAGAGTTTAAAATAAGATCTATATCATATCCCACCAATACCAGAGTTATGTCTTAATACTGATATAGTGAGAACATCTGATGGTATTCAGTTTAAAATATTGAAACTTTATTGGTTTGTTAACTGTATTTGTGTGCACAATATATTTTCAGATGCTCAGAGAAGCCAAAACATCCATCATTCACATCTAAATATGAATTAACATTTAAATATGTACATCTCTAATATTGTCAAGTGATTTATTTAATTGTGTTTCTTTGGTAACAGTCAGTGACATCAGGAGCACAGACATGTGTTCAGATCATACTGACAACACATTACACTCTATTATCATATATTATTATATATAAAATGGACTAACAGCAAATCTCAATCAGAACATATGTCAAATGTTTTTTTCATGAAATGCTTGAGGTCATTATGTTTCCTCTTTTTTTAACACATGTTTTAATATATGTGTTATTATAGACTTACTGACTGTGGACTCTCAGAGACTCACTGTGAAGTCGTGGCCTCAGCTCTGAAGTCGGACCCCTCCCATCTGAGAGATCTGGACCTGAGTAACAACGATCTGCAGGATTCAGGAGTGGAGCTGCTGAGTTCTGGACTAAAGAGTCCAAACTGCAGACTGGAGGCTCTCAGGTCAGTTCACTGACTGAACTTCATCTGTTTGTGTTTATCATTTTCTGAATTTGAAAAAAATACATTACAATTATTTTTTCCATTTTTGCTAATGACTGAATATTGATCAGAATATCAAACAGAAGGTGAATGTGTGACGGAGAGTGTTTGAGCTTCCACTGACTCACTCTGTGCTCCATGAGTCAGTGGAGATGCTGTCAGTACTGATGAGCTGTGAGGGAGATGAAGGAGTTGTTAAACATCTGATCAAAGTTAAAGTTCCAGATTATCAATGGATTGTTTCTACATCATCTCTGAGATTAAAGGGGACCTATCATGCAAAAGTCACTTTCTCATGTCTTCTTTACATCACCACTGTGACTGCGAGGGAGTGCGGTCGTCTTTCAACCAGAAGGTTGTGGGTTCGATCCCAGCCCGTGCAGCCAACATGTCGATGTATCCTTGGGCAAGATACTTAACCCTGAGTTGCTCCCGATGGCATGGCCAACGGTGTGTGAATGTGTGTGAATGTTAGGTCCTAGAGCAAGTGGTACTGCTCTGTATGAATGGGTGTGAATGGGTGAATGACATGTAGTATGTAAAAGCGCTTTGAGGGGTCGTAAAGACTGGATAAAGCGCTATATAAGTACAGTCCATTTACCATTTACCATGTGTCCCCGGTGTCAGGAGACTCACAAAGTGTCAGAAAATAAAACCCTCTCTCTTTTCCTCCGTACCCACATCTCTAAAAACGGGGGAACAACGGAGCTGATCCAGATTTGCTGCGTCATGACGACATTAATGTGGGCGGGCTTTACACCCACGGGCCAATCAGAAACGTTGCTGTCAGAAACAATGAGACATGTTCTGGAAGTAATATGGTCTTTGTTCACATTAGCATCGCTAACACTCAGAGCTAACCTGTGCTGGAGAGAGCATGTGTAAAGAAGCAGGAAATAAAAAGGAACTCACCTTGTGGTAAACCTGAGAGAGAAAAAGAGTTTGAGCTCCATACTGTTTCAGAAATAATCCTTGATGTGGTTTAGAACATGATATGGAGTTTAATCACGGCAGCATTTAGCTGAGTTTCTGCTGGGAGAATTCTGAGCAGGCATTAGCTCCACCTCCTTTGTTTTCAAGCTAAGGACCCGAACCTGTAGTTCTCTAACAGCTGAAACAGAGGGATATGAGGGATTTCTAAAATGCATGATTTGTTTGGTATTTTGAGCAAAACACATCATAGACATGCTTTTATATATTTTTATTTATCTGAGACCCATACTATATGCCTAAAGATAGCCTGATATGAGACCTTTTAAAACCCTGTTTAACTCTGATCAGATTATTAAACCTAGAGTTATTTCAAACAGGAACATTGTTTTCTAAAGTCACATCATGTTTTCTTTATTCAGACTGAGGGACTGCAGGTTGTCAGAGATCAGCTGTTCTGCTCTGATCTCAGCTCTGAAGTCCAACATCCATCTGAGAGAGCTGGACCTGAGTGAGAACGATCTGAAGGATTCAGAGAAGCTGCTGAGAGATCTTCTGGAGAGTCCAGACTGCAGACTGGAGACTCTCAGGTCAGTTATTCAACCTGATTCTTCTACGTAATTAACTTACATCCATTAAGTTGTAAATGTTCTTTTATTCATATTTTCATTTGTAGGTACTAAAGTAAGAACTGCAGAGATACATGTTGACTGATAATTAAAGGAACTGTAATAGATGTTAGTTGTAAAAAGTAAATCTATGTTTTTAATATTTGGTAAACGATAACGTCTGAATAAAGTTAATCTGAAGAAATATTAGTTTTACAGGATAAAGTTGACTTTCTGAAGAAGACATATTTTTGTTGTTCCCATTCATTTCAATGTTGAGTAACACATCTGATTATAAACAGATTTGTATCCTCATCATGTTTTCTTTATTCAGACTGAGGGATTGCAGGTTGTCAGAGATCAGCTGTTCTGCTCTGGCCTCAGCTCTGAAGTCCAACATCCATCTGAGAGAGCTGAACCTGAGAGACAACAATCTGCAGGCTTCAGATGAGAAGCTGCTGAGAGATCTTCTGGAGAGTCCAGACTGCAGACTGGAGACTCTCAGGTCAGTAAGGGGTCTCTGCTGGTTCAGCAGTATTGTTTGAAACATAGGGAGGTGTTTCTCTCACTGGGGAAACAGATCAGTGATGTTACCCACTGACTGCAGGCTCTTCCATTCTTCCATCAACTATAGAAGGCCAGCTGGAAATGCAAAGCCACACTTTAGTAATCAACTCTCTAACAGGCATATGGGGGTTTACAGAAGAGTGGGAAAGGTAGTCTGTTCTTATGGGATGTTTTTAGTTTCTAGACCAGGGGTGTCCAAACATATATTACACAGTAGTATTCATGTGTTAATAAACCCACTTTTAAAATAAATTCAGTCAATTAAAGCTGAAAACATGTTCTAACAAATCTAACTTGATAAGAAAAAAGCCCAATAACAAGCGTGAAATAAACCCTTCATATTTCCTGTAATTATAATCAATCTGAAGCTCCTGTTTTAAGGAATGAGCTGCCGACTAAATAAAGTAAACCCACTGGAGAGCTGTTTTGTTTCTTAAAGCATCTTCAAGTAACAAGCATCCTTTACCTTCATTTGATTGAGTTTTCTGACTTATAACTTAACTTATGAGGCAACATACCTCGAGAGAGCGGCCCAGACCTTTATATATTTTTCTGTATGTGGCCCTCGGTGAAAAGAGTTTGTACCCCCCTGTTCTAGACCAATGACTGGTTACTTCCTGTAATGCAGCTGAGAGCTGTGGCAGGCAGTCGTAGTGTTTGCAGAGAAGATATGATGGGATGTAAAGCATGAGATCAGGACTCTGAATCTGACTCAAAGAACAAACTCTTATTTTAAACTGGATCTCAAACTGTTGGATTGTGTTCATCTCTGCAGGATCGGATGGTATGAAGAGATGATTAGAGCCAAGATCCAGAAGACCTGTGATTACTGTAACCATATCCTCCATTCATCAATATATTAAACTCTTAAATGTAGTTATTGCTCAGTGTGTTTCTGGTGTTCCAGACAAATCTGAAAGCTGAGGTTTTATTTGTTCACAGTTTATTGTTGTGTCCCGTGAGAAATGTTAAGTCCAGTCATGTTTCATGTTTTGTTTAATCAGTTTCTGTCTTGCCTCCCACTTTCTATCCTGGTGTGTGTCTCCCACCCTCATCAGAGTTAGCCCCGCCTCTTATTGTTTAATGCTGTGCCCAGTTACCTTTTGTTTATCGTCCCCAGCTTCCCTTTGTTCTTTGTCAGTTCGTCTTGTCCTGTTACCATGCCAGTACTCTGCTCACCAGCGGATTATTTTCCTCACCTAGTGAGCTATTTTCATTGTGCCTTATTGGAGCCTGTTTTCACCTCGCTAAGAGTGTCGTTTTCTGTTGTATACCTTTTGAAAATAAAGTATATTATTTATACTTTACCTCTGTCTCCCGGGTTGTGCATTTGAGTCCTTTTCCTTGTTTATCCAAGTTCGTGACATTTATTCATCACAGGGCGAGTCTGAGACGTAAATAGGAGCGTGGAGGCATTTTGGAAAATAAAGAAGAAGGCTGCAGCTGATGAGAGACTTCCTGTTAGCTCTCCTCAATATTAAGTGAACAAAAACAATCAATTGTGCTTTTCTTAAGAAGAAAGATGTGTTGCACATACACCTGCTGCTACCTACCACCACCTACCACCCACCCCGGCACCAAAGAGGAGACTCCATCGACCCCAGATACCCAAACTCACTCTTCTTCAGGTTAGCTTGGAGCCTTTACCTGCCTCAACATCTCACTTTGAACGATGTAGTCATCCGGATATCTGCATACTTGGAGTGGGACGCAGGACCCGGTCAATGAGCTGCTGGAAAGGGGTCGACTGGACTGGAGGGGCGCTTGGATCTGGTGATGCCTTGCTCTTTCTGAAAGGGGAGGAGACCTATCTGCCATAGTTTTTCCACCTGACGACTGAGTTCGGCATCGGGGGTTCCAGTTGGGGTGAAGAGAATCTGGGGGGCATCCGATGGCTCCTGAATAGGGGAGGCCCTTGGAGTGTCCAACCTAATGATAATAATAATAATAATAATAATAATGCATTTTATTTGTAAAGCACCTTTCATTGCTAAAAGTAATCTCAAGTTTAAAAGGCTTTTTAGGCCTTTCTTAAAGGAGTCAGTGGTCTGTGGAGTCCTCAGTTTGTCAGGGAGGGAATTCCACAGGTGAACAGAAAACCCCCCCATGGTGCGGAGTTTGGTCCTGGGGGGGGGAAGCAGATGGTTGGTTGTAGAATGGAGGTTGCGTGTGGAGGTTTGTGAGGAGAGTAGTTCCCGTGGATGCATTGATGGATGCGTGAGATCTTGTATTTGAACCTAGCTGGAGGGCTATTGGTGCCCCCTGTGGACCCAAAGAGACTCTTTTGGTTGGGGTATGAGGTGAAAGTTATCTGCACCTATTAGTAGGAGAGGCTGCACTTTGGGAAATGAGGGAAGGGGAAGGCCTTGTAGGCGGAGATAGTGTTTCTTGAGTTAATCCACAGGATAACTCTAGTCCACAAGTGAAAGTCTGTCAGAGGTGAATGTGTCTTTGATGAGGAATGTTTTCTTGGGATTGAAAGAGGGTGATATCTCAAAGGTCACTGAGGCTCCATTTCAGAATAATATATATGATATGTTTTATAATTAATGATTGATCATTAAAGTGTTTTCAAAGCTGGTAAAGGTGCAGCTAGTTTGAATGACTTTGTATACTGCAGGGTAGCTTGTGAATTTACTCCAGGTGGAACTAAAGCAGGGGTGTCAAACTCAATTCCATCGCGGGCCACATCAGCATTATGGTGGCACTCATAGGGCCGGTTGTAACTTTAAGTTGTAAGCTTGAAATGCACCTTGAAAATGCTTGAAAAGTGCTTGAATTTGACCTTGGAAAAGATGTAAGAACCCTGAATATAGATGTTTTTTATTTTAAATAAAATTCAGATTGAACATATTAAAAAACTGTAAATTATAGTGTCCGTCCAAAAATTATTTTTTACTTATAGTGAAAACCACCCTTGAATGATGGGATGGTAGACTAAAAGCTTTAGGAATCCAAAGTGCAACATATAATAAGTACCCTGTATCAAGATTGATGCAAAACAAGTGACATTTGACCTTTTTAGAGAGATTTAGAAAAAAAACTGGGGTCATTTGGGTGGATTTGACCTATCTCTGGCCCCCCTTGGTCAATTATGCTGATTTACATCTCTTTCTAACCGCTAGAGCCAATGGAATCGAGGGAAGTTTCCACATACACCAAAGCTTACCAAATAAGGAGTGAGAGTGACGCGTAGCCAAAACTGGAGTTGTGACACTCTCTGGTGGCTACCATTAGCAGCTAATTTTTATTCTCCGATTTTTGCATACAAATTGAATTATGGATTATCAATATTTTTTTCAAAGTGACAGACACATTGGATTAACCTTCAGCCGCGTTTTTTCTCGTTTTAATGCCATTGAGCACGACTTTTGATCAGAATAACAGCTAAGGTGAGCATATCTCCGTGTTTTGCTACCTAAAGCTACGTCGTGTGTTGTCTGTATTTGCTTCCCCTGTCGCGAGTTCTGATCGCTCAATGATGATCCTTATATTTCTATCATCTGTGGACTCTCAGGATGTTATCTAAGCTTGTGCATATCCAATACGTATATCGATCGGTATAGCTAGAGTTCTGTGCTAACGGCCTTAAGATTGTTTCGCTCTTGGCTAATTCAGAGGCTCGGAGCTAGCTTTGTGTGTTTTTTTGTTTTTTTTGTAGTTAGCTGAGTTTCTTCCCGTTACATAGATATGAAACATTAATAGTTTATTACATATTAAGAACAGTGGCGAGCCGTGACTTTTATACCTAGGCCCTCGAAAAAAAGAAGATATATTACGTCACAGCGTATACTTCAGCGGAATATCAAAACAGCGGCCCGGGGTGCAAAACGCATCAATGACAGCGACCCTCTACCACACAAAACAACACCATTTATATAAACACCTATCATGACAGGCTCCCTTACAGCCAAGTAACAATTGCAAATGAATTAAGTCGGCACGGCGGCCCACATGAAAATGACTTAGGCCTACTTTTGATGATCAAATCACTTAAACACAAAGTCCATCCTCCTGTCCTTTTGGATGAAGCACTTGATGGCGGGTCATGCAGCTGATCCTTTGCCACTCCAGTTTATCATTGTAACTCAATCTTGAAAATGACTCGGTTAATAATTTCGTAACGATGTCATCACTATCACTGAAGTGAGCCATCATGAACGAACTTATGCTAATTATAAATCTATCGTTTAGATTTATGATTCAAAAATAATAAAAGTAGGGTAGACATGTGGAGATTATCCGGCTGAACAAAACGTGCATTTATCTAACAGGTTCGTTTTCCACAGACCTTATTTCGAGCTATTTTCCAAAATCCTATGGAGAAATCCCACTGCTTTCTGTCGAGGGAATCCGGGCGAAGCTTACTTCCGGGTTATAGGACGCGTCACTGCACCACTTGCATAGACCTCACAGCGGGCGGAACTTGTCATAAAGTCCGCGAAAATAAAGCCCGCCCATTTAGAGGGAAGATATGATTGGTCAATTGTACTGTCATTTCACATTACTCTCTCGTTGAGTTACTATAGCTGGCCCTCTGTGAATCTACAGAGGGACCAACAAGCTCTCCCGTCTTCACATAACTCGCAGAGACGGCATTTAACCCTTCACATTCCAACAGAAACTGAACAGGCAGATTCGAAGGATTTATTTCTTTGGAAATATTATTTTAAATACAATTAAATCAAGTTATTTTGGTAAAACTAATTAAAAATGTAACAACAACAACAACATGTAAAAAAAAATATTTAAATTTTTTTTCTTTTTTTCTTAATGTTTTCAAATATTATTTTTTTGAATATATTAGGCCCTCACAGAGGGCCTAGAGGGCCCTGACGGCTCGCCACTGATTAAGAAGCCCTCAGACGCTGTTTCCTGCAGATGATGCGTTTTTCCGCCTGGGGATAGGTCGATGGGGTTCAACAGGTTAACACTTGCGCTTCTATTGGCTAGCACTCCAACACATTGTACCTGCTAGGGAGCGGGACATCTCTAAGATGTTGGCCAATCACAACAGAGCCGGACAGTTAACCAATCAGAGCAGACTGGGCTCTGGTTTCAGACAGATGGTGAAAAGAGGTGCTGCAGCACATGCAGTATGAGAAAAATAAAGAGCTTTTTGAACATTAAAGCACGGAGACATGTAAAGGCACAAAATACAAATATCAACCCAAAAATGAGCAGAATAGGGCCCCTTTAAACACAACAGTAAATCTAATGTGGCTTCCTTTTCCTTTTCTCTTATTTTTACCACATTAGTTATTGTGGACCTCATGGAATTTGGCATTGTCTTTGACAGGAAGTTGCACGTAGGAAACATTTTCGCTCTGCCTCTGGCTGCATGTTCGCTTGTCTTTTGATGAAAACCTATTTAAGTTTAACTCACACCACAATGCCCTGAAAGGACTTTGCTAGTTTCACAGAGGCTCACAAGTCATCTACAGCGAGCTGCGAGGGGCAGCAGCTGCATCTGTATTGTATGGGACAATTTGAGTCCACAAATAAACTGGTCAAATGGAAGAAATGGCACACTACTGTAGAAAGCGGTTGTTTCTCCTACTACTTCTTCACTTATTACCCTCTTTATGGGGTGATTCAGGAGAATACAGTGCAAACATGTCACAGGTTGCATCCTGCATTCGTATGAGGAAAGATGGTGGCTATTGTTAAATATTATAAAATGTGTGATACTTTAGACATTTTTCTACAGAATAACACAGTCGAATGTGCTTTCAGAAGACAGTTTTATCGTCCAACTATTGTCCCATTGTGACCAAAAATAAGGGCATTAATAACATTTTTGTATTTGCATGAATGTAATGTATTTTGTTGTGTCTGTCTGATTGATGACAGGTGGCATGCTGCGCTCCGAAATCTTGCACTGTAGCCTTCACATCGTTGGGCAAACTGTGTGTTGTTAGAGCTGCAAAAACAGAAAACAGAAAATGAATCACCTTCTGTTTTAATGGCAGGATAATCGTTGGCATTTTTCATGCAAAAATGTCAGAAAATGCGGTTTTTAGCTTCTAAAATATGCAGTTTTTTTTGTCTTTTATTAAAAAATATAATATTACACTAAAACTTTGGGATTTGGACTGAAAAAGCAGGACATTATAAAAACTCACATTTGCCATTTTTTTTTGCTGCATCGTTTTTCAAAAATATGAAAATAATAGTTTACATGCAAAGATGTGTGGCAAGCAGAGTCTCAGTTTAACCCTTAAAGAGGCCCTTTTATGGTTTTTGGGGTTTCCCCTTTCCTGTAGTGTGTTAAATAGGATTTAGTGCATGTAAATGGTCTGCAATG